ATGTAAGCATGGGATTACTATGTAAGCATGGAATTACTATGTAAGTATGGGATTACTATGTAAGTATGGGATTACTATGTAAGTATGGGATTACTATGTAAGCATGGAATTACTATGTAAGTATGAGATTGCCATGTAAGCATGGAATTACTATGTAAGTATGGGATTACTATGTAAGCATGGAATTACTATGTAAGCATGGAATTTCTATGTAAGTATGTTAAATTTGAGAGGATCTACTTCATTGCACAGGGTTTTATCCCATATGGCTCAATCTCTCTTCGCAGAACAGCTAGCTGCCTGCCGAGAGTGTCACACAGAGAACAAACTCCGTAGCATCAGTGATGATCCCTCAGGGATTTTTTTTATAGATTTCACTCATGAACTGAACAGCGCAGCCATGGAAAGAACTCAGGACTAATACAAACAGCTTGACCATTTCGTCATTCACAGTGTCAATAAATATGGAGTTATTGGATTGTACGTCAGTATGGGAGGACTATTTACATATGAAAATACTATGTAAGTATGGGAATACTATGTAAGTATGGGAATACTATGTAAGTATGGGATTACTATGTTAATACAGGACTACTGTGTAAGTCTGGGATTACTATGTAATAATGAAATTACTTTATAAGAATTGGGATACTTTGTAAGTATCGGGTTGCTATGTAAATATGGGCTTTCCATGTAAGTATTAGATGACTGTGTAAGAATCAGATTACTATGTATGTATGTGATTATTATGTAAGTTAAGGGTTTCTGGGTAAATTTGGGATTACTGTGTAAGTATATGGTTACTTTCTAAGTTAGGGATTATTCTGTAAGTTTGGGTTACTGTGTAAGTTTGGAGTTACTCTGTAGGTTTGGGGTTACTATTAATAATTATTGGCTACTGTTTTTAACAGCAGAAAGTCACCGTAGTGAATAGTTAAGCGATTTGCCCTGAGCTGTGATAATCGTGGACTCTGTCATTTGACTCCTGAGAGCATAAAATTTCATCAGTCTTCTGGGGTTGTTACCGGAAGTATGGAATTATACCTTTATGTGATGTTCTTTGCAGAAGAATGTTGAATTAAGGATCAATATCACAGCACTTAGGACACTCCCATAAGTACTCCATCCCCATTTTCAGCAGCAAATAAAGAGTTCCAATTCCGATGGCACCAGTCACCCTCTGATTGTATATCCGTCTCATCCTTCCCCTGAGTGTTGAGTGTCGGCCAGATCCCCTGGTAACTCCTCACATTGCCATTCTCCTAAGACCATAATGATCTATATGCTCCGCCACACTGTTCACTCGTTCCCAAAAGGGCCCTCACAAATTCTAGCTTGTCATACATCAATTCACCACCAAGCGGCGCAGAGCCGGGTTCTTGACTGACTGCTGTGCAGAAAGAAAGCAAGTTATATAGGATAATACTTAGTGCAAATAAAGTGATCCTCTCACATTAAGACAGCCTTGTGTGTAAATGTATCATCCTGACAAATGTATCATCCTGACAAACGTATCATCATGACAAATGTATCATCATGACAAATGTATCATCCTGACAAATGTATCATCCTGACCTTTGCAGGCCCTTTGCAAAACATTGCTGTCATCTGCTTGAAAGAAACCGGGTCTCTCACCAACTCTCTCACCTCATACACTTTCCTATCCAAGTTGTCACTTGAATCTTGTAAATATCTTCATGCTGGTCTGTCCCTGGCCCGCTTTCCTGTTACCATTCCTTCTGCCTAATTCTTTCCAATCCACGGAGGGGTTTATTAAGGCAAAAATATTTCAATTTCCAAAACAATCTTCTTTGATGTTCAGATAGGTTTCTAGGTGTCTTTGGATAATAATGCGGTAGTTTCCCCTTGCTTTCCACATTCACATGGCTTTAGACTGTGTCCTCAGCCTTTCGCAAAAATATTATATTGCCAGGGCAAGTGAGTGCCGTGCTCTGTGATAAATGCATTGTCAACAAGAAAGAAGGCAAAAATATTAGGAGGTTCATCAGTCACCATCAAACTTGCGTAGTGAGTCACTAGAATGTCCTTGCATTGGAACCCACAGAGCCCAAGAAAAATAAAAGATAGAGGAGGCCTTTGAAAACCGAAAAGTAAATTAGAGACAGATATTAATGATGCAGGATGGACATGGAAGCAGCCACAGAAAATAGGCTGGCTGCACATTACATTGTTAACCTTCTCCTCATCTTACTATCTATGTGACTTATGACCTCCCGCACTTACGACCAAGCAAAATTAGTTATTATAAATAGTAAATAAAGAAAAATAACTACATTGGTAGGATCAACAAGTTCCAGGAACTGATGCCTAAAGTGCAGTAGCATTTGTTTATACGTATCTAGACTGAATTGTTATGTTTTATGTGNGTATTGAATAATGTGTGTTCTTGTATGTTGATGTTGAGTACTCCTGTCTGTGTGGAATTGTGTGTATTGATGTTGAGTGTTCCTGTCTGTGTGGAATTTTGTGTATTGATGTTGAGTGCTCCTGTCTGTGTTGAACAATTTGTGTTGTTATGTGTCGATGTCGACTGCTCCTGTCTCTGTGGAACAATGTATGTTTTTATGTGTCAATGTTTGTGTGGAAGCTTCAGTTTTGTGCGTACATCTGTTTTAAATTTACTCCTCATTTCTTCTTCGCATTCACTGGCTGTAGATTCTGTTGGAAAATTTCGGTTGTTCGTCCACATTTCGAAATTAGTCTTGTTCAAAAACCTGAGTTGCGTGCACATTCTTTTTACTGATCTGACTTACTTGTATGCAGATTGTTGGTTCCTCACTTCTCAAGCAGATGGACTTCGAAAGAAGCACACCTACTTTGTCGCCACTTACGACATGCTTTTTAGGGGTCAGTGGGTCTATTTTGCCAAACCCCCCCCCCCCCCCATCCCCCTCCTCCCCCACCCCAAATAGGACTCCGGAATTCACACGGAGGTTGCAAAACACAATTCCTGATTTTAAAAAAGTTGTGCTTTGGTGCGTGTAGGGGAAACCACTTTTATTGTATACATGTAAAACTTCACATTTTAAACAGACAAAGTGGGAGTCATCTAATCGCAAGGGAAATGTGTAAACAAAAATATAGGATGACGGAAAACAGAGGAGGTAGTACTACAATATCCCTTCAAATTCTAAACTGTTAGAGGATTCCGGCTGGACAGTTGAGAAAGGCCCTGAACAAAACTAGAAAGGATCATTTGACAAACTAACAAATTACAAGTATTTATGTCTATAAACTTACTCAAATACGCACAAGATTAAATGTATGCTCGATTTAAAAATGTATAAACTACTGTGGAGCCAAAAATATATGGTAAACACGGAAAATAATCATGACAGTTTAATAGAGCTGATGAAACCGATAGCCAGTGCAAGTTTTAAACAGGTAAAGGCAATACAATAAAAATAAAAATTACTATTTATATTTCAACAAGTAGGCTTTGTGGCTAAGTCGATGCTAACGCTTCGCAATGCCGAGATGCCAGGTTCGATCCCAGCTGTGGACCATGCGCCTTACGTTAGTTTCCACAGTGGTATCAAGAAAGCCGACCGTCCAGGAGCAATGGCAAACTACTGGACGTAAATTTGCCTAGAAAAACCACACAGCCAGGGGTTGTTGGGATTGGTTCTGCAACGTTCTCTAAAGGATACGCAACTAACCTATTCCAACAAGCCAACAGCGATACTTACCAACTTGCTCCAATTTTAAAACACCCTGCTATCCCAGCAAAGACAAAAAGACAAATCATAAATACAATTTTTGTACCGACTTTAGGTTACCAATGTCAGACTTGGACAGTGACAAAAGAACACGAAAGAAAACTAGCCATGAGATGAGATGTTTGAGAATGGCTGTGAATAAAACCAGAAGAGATGAATGAGAAACTACGTGATCACAAGAACTGTTGGAACAACAACAACCATTGTCAAAATTATTGAGAAACAAAGAGTGAAATGGTTTGGTCATCTAATGAGAATGAAACCAACGATGACAGCAGCAAGAACTTACAACCTAAAAATCGAAATATAAAGAGGCAGGGGAACACGAGAAGAATATGGATTGAAGGAGTCACCGACATTTTGCGACTGCATAAGATCACGGAATATCAAACGACCGAGCGCGTCCTGGCTCGGCCGCCGATCGTCTGATGAGCTGCGACGCCTAGCGGCATAAGCAGATATTGACAACAGAAGAAGTTATGTTTTACCGCCCTAAGAATTGTGAGGCCCTGTGGATACGTGTTGCACATTCATAAATACGACCCTGATTACGAAGGCGCTCTGCACGTCATGTGTTCATTTCACGGCTTCGGTTCACGAGTGCAACTAAGAGACCCCGGGATCGTCGCTGGAGCTACCGTGTTCATGCTTTCGGTGACGCTCTCGCCAGGCTTGCTAACCGTTCTGCGGATAGAGACCGGGCCATGTGAGACAAAAACCCGTTGCAATTAGTCGATCATCTCGCCTTTAACCTGATGATGCTGAACTGACATCTCAAGGTACAAGAGAAACATAGTGAGATCAGAATCGTCTTCCTCTTGGCATTTACCGGCAGTAAACTCCGGCGGAAAGTTCTGGTCGTTCGTCCGATTTTAGGCTCTCATGCTGTTCTAGAACCTGAGTGTTGCGTGCACATCCGTTTTACACATCTGGCTCATTTGTATACACATTGTTGGTTTCTTGCCTCTCGGGCAGATGCACTTCCTTCGAAGGAATCTCCCAAATAGTCGACTCTTACTACATGTTTGCTGGGGAGATACTGGGTCTATTCTCCCTTTTCCCCATCATTGGACCCGGAAACTAGACGGGGAAGATCAGAATAAAATGTGAGAGACCAAAACGGATGCTAGAGACCTAGAGTTATCTCCTCTAACAATAATGTCCCCTGTAACTATGGTAACAAATAATCAACATGGCGGAGTAAATAAAGCACAGTTGAATATCTGCTGATTAATTGTATGATTTTCAATCTGATCTGCAATGACAGGTGCACGACAAGCTGTGCGAACTGAGTCTCAACTCAAATATTCTTCCAACTACAAGAGATCCACTTTGCCTTATCTGTTGGCAGAATATGGGTTGGAAAGTACAGAATCGTTTCCGCGACTCACACAACAGGCATGTACATTTGTACTTAGTTAGTTAGTTAGTTAGTTGGGTTATCATCATTGCACTCCGGACATGTCCATAGGTGCTCAGATCCTCCCCTCAGTATGAATCCCAACGTCCGATGGCTAATAGTACCAGTTCTATGTTGATTAACAAGTCTTCTGACGTGTCCGGTGTGCGTCTCGTTTTTTGCTGTGCCGATCTTAATTCCCAAGTCTGCCATTCTGGCGAGTGATGTGGATTCACTGCCACCAAAGTCCTCTATCCTTCCCATTTCTCTGAGGGCATTGATAATATCAGCATGATCCATAGGCCGACCGTCGGTAGTGATAGCGGATCCAGCCAATCTGTCAGCTCTTTCATTTCCATCGACGCCTGCGTGTCCCGGAACAAAAATAAAGGTGACTCCTCGCACAGTGGACTTCTGAATTGATTCAAGCCATTGTCTTCGCACTGAACCTGCCTGAACCCTCCGGATCATACTCATTGAATCACTGAGTATACATATGCGGGTGTATTTTTGTGTTTCAAGCCAGGCAAAACGCTTGCGTCACTGCCATCACCTCCATCGTCATGCTGCTGGTTGTCATGGAGAAGGCGCCGTTGGCTTTCTTGACTGTTCTGCCCGCTGAGCGTGCTGTAAATGCCCATGCGCTTCTTCTTTGGCGTATAAACTGATCCGTCTGTATAGATTAGTGCATCTGCTTCGTCTGAATTTTCACACGATGAGAGCGTTGACCTCTGCATTAACAGCAACAGGATTATCTTCTCTACATCGCCTGTTGAGTGTGACAATACAGGAAAATGTACAAATAAACGCCTGAAGCACAGGTATCCATTCTGCACCAGGTATGATGTCGGTTAGGCTGCATATTTGCCTAATAACATCTTCTGCCCGACCTAGCCACGATTTTCCCCTCTTCAGTCTGTCGCCCTTTTCACTAAAAAGCGCTTGATGCAGTGGGTGTTTCTTATCAGCACATATTTTGAGGTATGCCGAGCCCCTCCACATCCTGATCCTTTGGTTCATTGTTGGAAAGTCAAGTAGATACCTCATTGCTCCACAGGATGTGTCTCTTGTACATCCCAAAATAATACGCATGGCTTCATTTTGCACCTTCTCGAGTCGTTCAATCTGGGTAGCACTGACAGTGAGGATGGCCAGAGCGTATTCAATGGGGGGAAAGGACCAGACCATAGAATAGAAGCACCAGCAGTCTTTGCTCGATATTGAAAGCAGCCATAATCCTCATTGCAGATAGACCTTTGCGTGCTTTTGTTATCGCATGGTCAACGTGTTCCCTGAATGACAAGCTGCGATCGGAACCTCACCCCGAGAAACGTCATAACGTTGGTTCTGATCAATACATTATCACGCATTTTCACTTCTGGTAAGTCCGACTTGACAATGTGATTGTTCAAAGAGAACCATGACACTGATGCCTTCGAGGGATTGACATAGGCATTGGAACCATCACACCAGGCGGCAATTCGATCGAGTTCTTTGTGCATTGTGCTGGCGATCTCCTGTCTATCACGCCCTCGTCGATAAATCAAAATGTCATCAGCAAATGACAAAGTCCTTTCCTTTCCATTCAACTGCTGCTCAGTGATCATCACCGTATAAACATTGAATAAGACTGGTGATAGCGGTGATCCCTGTGGCAAGCCTGGACATATCGTTTGCGGTTCTGAGGACCAGCTACCACATCTTAGTACAATCTTTCTCTGGAACAGGACCGCAGCAATCCAGCGGATCAGAATAGGATTGACTTCTAGTTTAAGCAGTAATTGCATTAAAATAATCATATGGTACTTTATTGTAGGCATCTTCTAAGTCCAACACTTGCCGCACATGTCTCTTCTTTAATCTGAAATCCCTCGTACACATCGTAGGCGAAAACAGCAGCATTGGACCATGTCTCTTTCTTCAATCTGTACCCTCCAAGTGTTGATGGGAACTTATCATGTAGTTCCAAGTAGGTGGTCAATCTTTGTGCGACAATTTTTTCCAAAAGTTTGCCAACAGTATTCTGCATCGAGATGATTCTGTAGCCGCAGATCTTTGAGTGGTCTTTATTAGGCTTTGGTAGTGGAAACAAATAACTATGGAGCCATTCCTCTTGTATCTGGCCACTCTGGATGCTGATATTGAATTCCTTTGCCACGCTTTTCAAATCAGCATTCGACATCATCAGCATGTTTAGTAGTAAAAAATTAATGTTTACGAATAATAATAATAAATTCAAATTTCATTGAGGATATTCTTCTTCTTCGTGTTTACCAGCTGTAAACTCTGGCAGGAAGTTCTTGTTGTTCATCCACCTTCGGATTGCAGTCCTGTTGCGTGTGCATTTTTTTACAGGTCTGACTCCTTTGTATGCAGACTGCTGGTTTCTTTCCTCTCAGGCAGATGCACTCCGACTTCGAAGGACCATTGATGATGATAAGGACTATATGTTTCGTGATTTTAGTAATATTTAAATCAGTTTAATTTGATTCAGTCTATGAAAGATTTTGGCAATGTTTAAATATAGCAGCCCATAAAATGGCTCTCCTGCGAACTTCTACCCAATATTATGGCAGCCAAACAAATAGCCTAACAGGGCCTCAGTCGTGTGTAAAATGCGGACTTTCTGCCAAGGAACAAATCGCGGTAAAACTAGAATCGGCTCTAAATAACGAAACAAATGCTCTAACAGGGTCTCAGCGATATGTTAATTGCGGACCTGTTTCTGCGACTATGCCGCACCGCCGACAGTATCCCCGCGCCGCCATGTGCAGCACAGGGGATACTGTCGGCAGTGAGTTTAACCGCGTTTTGGGCATGCCAAAAAGTGTGAGGACAACAACGACGCTAATCTGCATCGGAGCGCGTGGTCTCCCCGCCATGTGGCTATTATCGTCTGTAATGTTGCTTGTCTCGAAATTGTCAACGGTCACTATTATTGTCTGGTACTATCGTCTGCAGTGTTGCATCTCTTGAAATTGTCAAGTAATCCTAGTTTTTGCCGCGATTTGTTCCTTGGTAGAAAGTCCGCATTTTACACATTACTGAGGCCCTGTTAGGGTATTTGCTTGGCTGCCATAATATCGGGTAGAAGTTCGGAGGAGAGCCCAAAAAATGTTTATGAGGATTGTAGAGCAACTGCGTGGTGGAATGCAGACTAAAATCCAAGAAATGGAGAAATATCTGAACCTTTCCCTGTCAGAAACGATGTGAAACAAGGATGTGCACTGGCACCTACTTTATTCAGTATCATGTTCTCAGCTGTGCTGTCTAATGCTGTATGTGATAGAGATGCAGGAATTCATATGAAATATTTAAAAATATGAATCAATATGTAAATATAATATTTCCTATCAGTTCATTCCTCTTGTGGACTCCATTTACCCATTGCGGGGGGGGGGGGGGGGTTAGACCCACTGCCCCTCTTATAAACATGTCGTTAACTCTTTGAGTCCCAGGGGGTTTAGCATCACAGGCCCAGGGGTAGTAAACAGAGTCATAAAATCGGTGCATCATGCGTTTATTGGGCTTCTAGGTAGGAAGCTATGAACATGTGGTGCGTTCCTTGGGGCTCAAAGAGTTTAAGTCGACAAATTAGGGTTATTTCCTCTGAAGTCAGATTGCATCTGCCTGAGAGGCCAGGAACCAACATCTGCATACAAATAAGCCAGATCAGTGAAACAGATCAGCACTCAAAACTCATGTCTGGAACAAGACGAAGGTCCAGAAATAGACGACCAACCAGAGTTTTCCACCAGAGTTTTCCACCAGAGTTTTCCACCAGTTTTCCACCAGAGTTTTTCTTCAGTTTACAGAAGAAAAGAGAAGAGAAGGAAGAAGAAATCAGTACATGATAGCAGTGAGCAGTTTATTGACAGAGGTTTAGATATTTTTTGTTATTTATTTTTTATTTTGTTATTGTCCATCTCTTGTGAAGGAGAGAGCAAAGACAAGAGCAAGGACAGCTCCACTAAAGCAAAAACAAAAATCCAGTAGTTTTTTACACTTCGATGAGGAGAGAGCTCGCAGGAAACAGACTGAAAGAGATGAGGTAGATGTTAAATAAAACTGAATTAGTTAATAATTATTTGACATATGCGATTTTTAAATTTCATGTCTGCAGTAAATTGCATGTTGTTTTATAATTGATAATACTTTGATTATGGTCATAATTGGTCTCATTATCATCTGCATAAAAAAAAGCCAGTCACGTTTTCAGTCGTTCAAAAATCGAGAAAGAACAAACATGGATACTGTTGAAGCCTTTCCTGCAAGCTGTGAAATTTGTATCAGCAAATCGGAGGTTGATTTTGGAATAGCCCTTGTAAATGCCAAATGACGTTGAATGTGTTGGCCAAAAAGTGAAAATATTGCAGCTATACTGTAAATTTAAACAACATAGTTATGTCACTCTGTCGGAGTGATTGGGGGGGGGGGGGGGAGTGGTCTTGTTATACACTCAAGGGGGCACCACCTGAACAAGGTTAGTGATCACTGCTCTAATGAATGATGAAGTTATATAAACAGTTAGTGCCCTTTTTCAGACCACACTGTGACTGCTGTTATGAACTTCCCAACATACTGTCTCATATCAACACGTTATTTCAACATCACTATCTGAAACTGATAGAAAACATGCACTGACTCCTTGATGACTAATATGAACTTCCCAACATAATGTCTCATGTCAGCACGTTTTTTCAACAGCACTGTCTGAAACTGATTCAAGACATGCACCGACTCCGGGACTACTATTATCAAGTATACACAAGGCGTCTGGCTGAAAAAGTTGAAAAACAGCGGAAAGAAATCAAAGAGAAAGACCTTCAAAGCCGAGAAAAGAGAATAAAAAAAGAAGAAGAAGAGGTATGAACACACTGTGTATAATGTCCGACTTATGCTTTTGATAATCATAACAGTGTAAGAACTTGTTATAATAATAATACATTTTACAGCCTACAGTAACATCAGAGAATCTCTACAACAGCACGATGTGTCTGTAGTAGAGTTGGCCAAAAGAGCAAGAAGCAGCACCTTATGTCTCCCTTGACACCCACAGCCGTAAAAGAGGAAGTGAAGAAGAAGAGCAGCTTATTCAGATTTACAGCAGTACTGAAATCGGAGATTCACAAGTAAAAGAAATATTTGAGGAGAAGAAAAATAATTATGGCACTGGATGTAGTACGCACAGAGGCCAGAGAGTGACGTTTAACATTGTAATCTTTGTTTAAGAATCAACAAGTAGCATATGCAATGGAAATTAAAGACAGATTTCCGTGGAAAGGAAATGGTAAAAATGGATAAGTAATAATGGAGGACATGGAAAGAGAAAGCAGAGGAAGTGAAAGACAGCGTGATTTGGTGGTTGGTTAAGAAAGTTAGTTTGTTAGTTAGTCACAGTTGCAGCTTCACAGCACACAGTTAAAAAAAGTTAGTTGCGCATACTTTACAGGACGTTGCAGAACCAACCCCTAACAGCGCCTGGCTGTGTGTGGTATTCTCTTGGACAAATTTTAAAAGTTCCAGTAGGTTTGCCATTGCCTTTCTGGGACTGTCGGCTTCTTGCCCGCAACTGGTCCCAACCCGGCAAACCCGGCATTAGAAGCGAACGTTCGCCCCAAAGACTTGCCCCAAAAGCCGACACAGCACACAGGTTCCCTTCCATAATTTCTCAAAATCTTTTTTCCAGCAAAAAAAACCCCAAAATACCCATCCCCCTCTCTTGTAAAAAAAAAAAAAAAAAAGGAACAATTAAAGGGTTTTAGAAGGCCAAAGGGGGGCCCGTACATACACACTCATTAAGTGCAAAAGGAAACTATCGGGAACCGGGACACCCCAGTCCCACCTAGAACCCTTCCCCCATCATTTTAAAAGCAAACAAATTTCAACAAACTAGCGGGAAAATGCAATACTGCATAAGGCACCACCGTTTCTGAAACGGCTCCCAAAACCCTTTTTTGAATTTTCATTTTGACACAGACCACCCTTGGGGAAGGTTTAAAAGCATTCCGAAAGGGCATCTGCAGCTCCCCAAAATGTCACACCATGCATTTCCCCATCAATTTACCCAAACCCAACTTCTTATATTGGGCCAAAAAAAAACCACACCTTTATTACACAAAGGGGAAAAGGGAGGCACCCACCGATGCATGAGAAAAGAGGTTATTTTAAGAGTTAAAGGGGTTCCACAATAAAAGACTTTTCAAAGAATAATTCCTTTTGTCCACAGGCCAAAAGGTAGTTTAAATTAATTTGGCTACATCAAAAATAAATTAAAGCCTTTCCATGAAGGTGGATGGTAAGTAAAAGGGGGGACTACCCAAGGAAAAGAGCTTTTTGTGGAAATATTTTAAGCCCCAGATTCCATAAAAAAATTGGTAAAAAGGCAATCAAAATAAGGGGTTTGCCTTGGAAAAAGAAAGGGGCAGAGGAAAGTGAAAACAGCGGGATTGGTGGTGGTAAGGAAAATTTGTTACACACTTCCTCATCATTAAAAAGCAGCATTTACAACAAACTAGCGGTAAAACATGCAATAATGCCATAAGGCCACCACCAGTTCTCTGATAACAGGCCAACAACAATTTTCTGAATCGCAGTTCATGACACAGACCAAAATTGGGTACAGTGAAAAGCATTCAAGATGACATCTGCAGCTCACAGTGCACACCATGCACTGAGTGAGTCAGTAGCGGGGCAAATAGAACCTATAACTTTCAGTCTATTATTAGGGGAAAGTGCAACAGCTAACTGTGTCGACAGCAAACAACTTTCTCAAACTAAAATGCTCGTCCTGTCTTTCTGCCATATTAGACCAGATGATTCAATATTCAGTGTGAAGATATATTCTATTGAGGAATGAAAAATGTGGGTTGGGGAGGGAAAAGGGGGGGGGGGGGTTCTAAGATGTACCAGAAGAAGATGACTAGAGAACTAATGTTGGAGGAGGACATGATCTTCGCAGCCTTGCTGTAAACCACAATACTGTGTGCCAGCTGCCCTCTCGAAGATAAACACAGAGGAAGAAATAGTCATAAATCAGTCAGTCAGTCACGCAGATCGATCAGTCACCAAATTGTAGGGACGTAAACTGCTCTTACATTTCATTTTCCTAAGGCAGCATCTGTTGTGGATTGATGTGCACCTGCTAGATATTTAAAAGAAATAAAACTCAACAAACTTTTTGTGGTTTGATACGAACAGAGAAGATCCAGTCACCGGCTCAAGAAGAGATTAGAGTACCATGTAGCAGAGACTTCAGTTTCATCTGACAGTGTTCCTAAAACTGATCTCTACTATGTAAGTATGGGATTACTATGTAAGCATGGAATTACTATGTAAGCATGGAATTACTATGTAAGCATGGAATTACTATGTAAGTATGGAATTACTATGTAAGTATGGGATTACTATGTAAGTATGGGATTACTATGTAAGCATGGAATTACTATGTAAGTATGAGATTACCATGTAAGCATGGAATTACTATGTAAGTATGGGATTACTATGTAAGTATGGGATTACTATGTAAGCATGGAATTACTATGTAAGTATGAGATTACCATGTAAGCATGGAATTACTATTAACTAATGGGATTCTATGTAAGCATGGAATTACTATGTAAGCATGGATTTCCTATGTAGTATGTTAAATTTGAGAGGATCGACTTCATTGCACAGTGTTTTATCTCCCATATGCCTCAATCCTCGTTCACAGAACGGCTAGCTGCCTGCTCGAGAGTGTCACACAGAGAAACAAACCTCCGTAGCACCAGTGATGATCCCTCAGGGGATTTTTTTTCCTAGATTTTCACTCGTGAACTGAACAGCGCAGCCATGGAAAGAACTCAGGACTAATACAAACAGCTTGACAATTTCGTCATTCACAGTGTAAATAAATATGGAGTTATTGGATTGTACGTCAGTATGGGAGTTCTATTTACATATGAAAATACTATGTAAGTATGGGAATACTATGTAAGTATGGGATTAATATGTTAATACAGGACTACTGTGTAAATCTGGGATTACTATGTAATAATGAAATTACTTTATAAGAATTGGGATACTTTGTCAGTATGGGGTTGCTATGTAAATATGGGCTTTCCATGTAAGTATTAGATAACTGTGTAAGAATCAGATTACTATGTAAGTATGTGATTATTATGTAAGTTAAGGGTTTCTGGGTAAATTTGGGATTATTGTGTAAGTATATGGTTACTTTCTAAGTTAGGGATTATTCTGTAAGTTTGGGTTACTGTGTAAGTTTGGGGTTACTATTAATAATTATTGGCTACTGTTTTTAACAGCAGAAAGTCACCGTAGTGAATAGTTAGGCGATTTGCCTTGAGCTGTGATAATCGTGGACTCTGTCATTTGACTCCTGAGAGCATAAAATTTCATCAGTCTTCTGGGGTTGTTACCGGAAGTATGGAATTATACCTTTTTGTGATGTTCTTTGCAGAAGAATGTTGAATAAGGGATCAACATCACAGCACTCAGGACACTCCCATAAGTACTCCGTCCCCATCTTCAGCAGCAAGTGAAGACTTCCAATTCCAATGGCACCAGTCACCGTCTGATTGTATATCCATCTCATCCTTCCCCTGAGTGTTGAGTGTCGGCCAGATCCCCTGGTAACTCCTCACATCGCCAGTCTCCTAAGACCATAATGATCTATATGCTCCGCCACACTGTTCACTCATTCCCAAAAGGGCCCTCACAAATTCTAGCTTGTTATACATCAATTCACCATGAAGCGGTGCAGAACCGGGTTCTTGACTGACTGCTGTGCAGAAAGACATCAAGTTATATAGGATAATACTCAGTGCAAATCCTGACAAATGTATCATCCTGACAAACGTATCATCCTGACAAATGTATCATCATGACAAATGTATCATCCTGACAAATGTATCAACCTGACAAGTGTATCATCCTGACAAATGTATCATCCTGACAAATGTATCATCCTGACAAATGTATCATCCTGACCTTTGCAGGCCCTTTGCAAAACATTGCTGTCATCTGCTTGAAAGAAACCGGGTCTCTCACCAGCTTTCTCACCTCATACACAAGTTGTCACTTGAATCTTGTAAATATTTTCATGCTGGTCTGTCCCTGGCCCGCTTTCCTGTTACCATTCCTTCTGCCTAATTCTTTCCAATCCATGGAGGGGTTTATTATGGCAAAAATATTTCAGTTTCCAAAACAATCTTCTTTGATGTTCAGATAGGTTTCTAGGTGTCTTTGGATAATAATGTGGTAGTTTCCCCTTGCTTTCCACATCCACATGGCTTGAGACTATGCCCTCAGCCTTTCGCAACATATTATATTGCCAGGGCAAGTGGGTGCCCTGCTCTGTGATAAATGCATTGCATATTAGGAGGTTCATCAGTCACCATCAAACTCGCATAGTGAGTCACTAGAATGTCCTTGCATTGGAACCCACAGAGCCCAAGAAACATTAAAGATAGAGGAGGCCTTTGAAAACCGAAAAGTAAATTAGAGACAGATATAAACGATGCAGGCTGGACATGGAAGCAGCCACAGAAGATAGGCTGGCTGCACACCACATTGTACACCTTCTGCTCGTCTTACTACCTATGTGACTTATGACCTCCCGCAGTTACGACCAAGCAAAATTAGTTAATATAAATAGTAAATAAAGAAAGATAACTACATTGGTAGGATCAAAAGTTTCCAGGAACTGATGCCTAGAGTGCAGAAGCATATACATATCTAGACTGAATTGTTATGTTTTATGTGCAAATTTTGTAACCTATTTCAGTTAAAATAGTGTTGAGAAATATAAATTTGACATTTGACAAAAAGTTCGAGGAACTGATACCTAGAGCGCAGCAGCATATATTTATATGTATATAGGTTGAATTTTTATGTTTTATTTGCAAATGTTGTAACCTATTTCAATGAAAATAGTGTTGAGAAATATAAATTAGACATATGACCAGTTGGACTTACAGCTTCACCCCAATATTTGACGTAATTAAAATTTTTTTATTTTAAAGCCCCACCCTGGCTGTCGTCAGGGGTCCTAATATAACCTGGGACTTTTGCTGGAGTGATTCTCATCTGATAGTGGGGCCTTGTGTCACTAGGTGTTTATCACTAGTTGTGCAGTCCTCATGGGGTTTTACTGTGACTCACTCACTCACTCAGTTGGACAATACATTAACCAGCTATTGGTTGGAATGGAACTCAGCTGTCAGCCGAGGAGACTGTTTGTGTTTCTGCTCACTTTTATGTTTACCTACATCACCCTTTCTTATAATCATAGAAACCAATATAATGTAGGCTTTCTCAGAGATAAAGAAATTAAGGAACAGTTCTCAGTTACGGTCTCTAATAAGTACCAGGTGTTGCAGCAGCTAGCTGAAGATGTCAACACGGAAGTCTGCTGGGATCAGATCAAAGGAATCTGGAATGAATCTTGCGTAGAAGTTCTTGGCAAGAAAGAAAGGAAACATAAAGCATGGATAACACCAGAAACCATTAAACTGATTGAAGATAGGAAAAAGTAAAAAGGCAGAATTAAACAATAGCAAAACTAGAGCTGCTAAAGCTAGAGCTCAGAGAAAATACACAGAAGCCAACAAGGAAGTTGGGAGGCATATAAGGGCAGATAAAGTGAAATATCTAAATGATCTAGCACAAGAAGCAGAGACAGCGGCAGCAAAAGGAAACCTCAGAGAACTTTACAGTAACACAAGAAAATTAGTAGGTAAATATAGTCAGCCAACTGGATCAATCAAAAAGTCAAGGAAAGGTACTTACTAACACTAAAGATCAAATGGACAGATGGGTTGAATATTTTGAAATGCTTCTAAATAGACCAGGCCCAGAGGTTCCCCCAGATATCCAGCCTTTAGAAATGGAACTGGAAATCAACTGTGAGATGCCATCCAAAGAGGAAATTAGGAAAGCTATAAATCTATTCAAGGAAGGAAAGGCGACAGGCCCAGACGGTATCCCAGCTGAAGCCATCAGGGCCAACATAAACACATCAACAGAATTGCTACATAGATTATTCAGTAAAGTTTGGGAGACCGAAGAAATACCAGCAGACTGGAGAGAAGGATATCTTGTGAAACTGCCCAAAAAAGGTGATCTACAGGAGTGTGAAAACTATAGAGGAATTATGTTGCTGTCAGTTCCTGGAAAAATATTAAGTAGAATTATTTTGGAAAGATTAAAAGATGCTATTGATAAAAAGCTAAGGCAGGTTTTTCGGTCAAACAATTCCTGTACTGACCAGATACCCACATTACGTATTATAATAGAGCAAAGCATTGAACTGAACTCACCACTTTACATTGGATTTATAGACTATGAAAAAGCATTTGACAGCATTGATAGGGAATCTCTTTGGAAATTGATGGGGCACCATGGAATCCCACAGAAAATTATCAACTTAGTAAAGGCAACATTTAAAGACATGAAATGTCGAGTTCTTCATGACGGGGGAAAACTAACAGATGCATTTGAAATAAAAACAGGTGTGCGACAGGGATGTCTTTTGTCGCCCCTTCTTATTTTTACTGGCTATAGACTGGACTATGAAAACAGTAACTGCTAACTTACCAAGAATGGAATTCAGTGGACCCCTACAAAACAGCTTGATAATCTGGACTTCGCTGATGATATTGCTCTTCTGTCCCATTCACGGAATCAGATGCAAGATAAATTAAATATACTTAATGCGAGATCAAAGCAGCTTGGTCTGAAAATCCATAAAGGAAAGACAAAGATAATGAGAATAAATCAGGCAAATAGTAATGTGGTTTCTCTTAATGGCACCCCACTCCAAGACGTGGAGTCGTACACCTATTTAGGCAGTAATGTAGATAAAGATGGAGGAACTGATAGAGATATTAAAATAAGAATACAAAAGGCAAGAGGGGCTTTCATAGCACTAGGGAATTTGTGGAGGTCAAAAGAAATTAAAAGAAATACTAAACTAAAAATTTATAATTCTAATGTCAAATCAGTACTATTGTATGGGGCGGAAACATGAAGAACAACCAAGGCAATTACTAATAAATTACAGACATTCATTAACTGGTGCCTGCGCAGAATAGAGGGAATAAAATGGTATGATAGAATAACTAATGTAGAACTTTGGGAGAGAACTAAACAGGCTCCAGTGGACCAGGAAGTGAGGAAAAGACTCTGGCGTTGGATAGGGCACACACTGAGAAAACAGGAGAACAGCATTACTAGAATGTCTTTGCATTGGAACCCACAGGGGCATAGGAATAAAGGAAGGCCAAAAAACACATGGAGAAGAGAGCTGGAGAACGAGGTTAGAAAGATTGGGAGGACATGGGGAGAGCTCCATGCAATGGCGAAGGATAGAACGACTTGGCGTGAGTTGGTTGAGGGCCTATGCTCCATTGGGGGATAGAAAGGCAGAAGAAGAAGAAGACATCACCCTTTTCTTGCTGTTGTTGAAACAGGCATATGGTTTCAGGCCAGTACTTTTGTACACCAGGCGATACACGAGGGGTGATGTGATTAACATCATGCTAGTCCCCTTTACTTCCCAGGACATTACCTGATACTCATATTAGGTTTGGTTCACGTAGAAGCTAAGATAAATTTTGAAAAACAAAACAACAAAAACTGCCTATATACGGATTTGAACCCTAGACCTTCTCGACCAGCAGGTGGGTTTCTAGCCACTAGAGTACCATGCTCCCTTGTTCATTATGCTGGAGCTATATTCTTATGCTTTCAATATTTTTTCTCCACATTGGTTCTGAGGCCTCATAGTTGGGAGGGGGGAGGGGGCGGCAGAGGAGTGGACCCTCTGCCCCTTAACAAGCATGTCCTAGGAGTCAGCTAATTAGAGATGTTTCCTTCAAAGTCAATGCATCAGCCTGAGGCCAGGAACCAACAGTCTGCACACAGATAAACCAGACCTGTAGAATGGATGGGCTCTCAAAACTCAGGTTGTGGAACAAGACTAAAGTGCAAAAGTGGATGAACAAGCAGAACTTTCTACAAGAGTTTACAGCCAGTGAATGCAAAGAAGAAGTGTATTGTTTGCCTTTTTATTTATACCATTTTATTGCCTTTATTGCCCTTTTTTTTGGTATAGAATTTTATTGGACAAAATTGTATGTTTCAACAGATTGTTGGACTGGAAGATAAACTTGTGCGAGAAGGAAAACTCAAGACAATGGATGATTTGAATAAATTTAGATTCGAGATTGAAGATCCTCATGTGTTCTACTCCACATTTAAAGTGACTAAATCTACAGGTATGCATAGATTTATGCTTGTGGCTGCCTTATACTTCTAATGCTTGTGTGTGCTAATGGAAATGTTGAGACTGCAGTCTGTGTCCGTTTCTCCACAAGGGACAGTGATAAACATTCTGTGTGTTTTTCGTTGACACAGAAGTGGAGCAACAACGTCGTGTACCCATTTACTGCGAAGCTGAAACTAAGATTACCATGATGACATTTATGCTTTTAATTCTTCTTCTTCTTTAGCATTCACCTGCTGTAAACCTGGCTGGAAAGTTCTTCTTGTTCATCCACTGGAAAGTTCTGCTTGTTCCTCCACTGGAAAGTTCTGCTTGTTCCTCCACTGGAAAGTTCTGCTTGTTCTCCACTGGAAAGTTCTGCTTGTTCTTCCACTGGAAAGTTCTGCTTGTTCCTCCACTGGAAAGTTCTGCTTGTTCCTCCACTGGAAAGTTCTGCTTGTTCCTCCACTGGAAAGTTCTGCTTGTTCCTCCACTGGAAAGTTCTGCTTGTTCCTCCACTGGAAAGTTCTGCTTGTTCCTCCACTGGAAAGTTCTGCTTGTTCCTCCACTGGAAAGTTCTGCTTGTTCCTCCACTGGAAAGTTCTGCTTGTTCCTCCACTGGAAAGTTCTGCTTGTTCCTCCACTGGAAAGTTCTGCTTGTTCCTCCACTGGAAAGTTCTGCTTGTTCCTCCACTTCTGGGTTTGGTCTTGTTCCATAAATTGAGATTTACATGCACGTCCAATTTACTGATCTGTCTTATTTTTATGCAGACTGCTAGTCCCTTGCCTCTAAGGCTCATGCATTCTGACTTTTCAGGAAAGACCCCAGATTAGTTGCCTTTTATGACATGCTTGTAAGGGAGGCAGTTGGTCTATTGCCCCCCCCCCCCCCCCCCCACATTTTTCACCCCCTCCTTCAGTTCGGACTTGAACTTACGTTGAGAATCCTTTTAATAAATTGTCACGCAGAGCTTTTATAATTTTTGAATACCAAAATGGTAGAGAAAAAAATGTATTGGACAACATCTCCAGCACAGCATAGCCTCTAACACTTAGATATGGACCAGGCAACTTTTAAAGAGCTGAAGCTTTTTTCTTCAGAAACATGAATGGTCACCAGAGAGAATGTTATACCAGTTTTGTCATTCAGTCTTTTTCAAAGATGCAACAACAAAATCCTAATTCTACTCATGATATATCAGTATGACAGGAGATCGCAGATTGTGGAGAGGCATGATCGCCCACACGTCAGCAAGGCATCTGATAATGATGATGATATCAGTATGGTGATCATTTGAGAGGCTGACATCCATGCTTAGTTTTGGAATAATCAGATCCTTTGGGACTGGTGAAAAAAAATAGATTTACAGCAGTTTCATCATGTTCAATGATGTCTGTGGAATGTCAACAAAACTTCATGGGAAAGCCTGACTGTCTAGCCCAGTGGTCTCCAACCTTTCTCCAGGTGGCGCCCCCTTGAGTATATCGCAATACTTCTCATCTTCCTCCCCCTTTTCAGCCTAACAAAAGAGAATAAAAAAGAGGAGGAATATGTTGTTAATCTATAATTAAATGCAGATGTTATCATATTAATTAGATTTTAAACTACAGATGTCAAACTGTTCATGAAAACAAAAACATCTTTGGCTTTTTGTTTTATAGTTTTAAAATGTTTATTTGTAATTAAATTATTTTTTTTAAAATGTTAGTAAAAAATAATTTCCTAAGTACAGATGAGCTCATTTTTATAATTGCTTGACCCCCCCCCCCCCCCACTTTTCCAGTTTGAGATCACCGCTCTAGTCTGTCCTTCTTAGAGAAGGATACTTGCAGTCATTGTGTGTTGTCAATGTCCTCTTTATAATAATAGGATGTCTCCAAAGTGAAGTAGTAAGACCATTTGTCCTGAGCTGTGAAGATTGTGGACTGTGCTGTTTGATTTCTGAGTGAACATTGTTCCCCTTACTCTGACAGGTGTGAAGATTGTGGACTGTGCTTTTTGATTCCATGTGTGAACATTGTTCCCCTTACTCTGACAGGTGTGAAGATCGTGGACTGTGCTGTTTGATTCCTGAGTGAACATTGTTCCCCTTACTCTGACAGGTGTGAAGATTGTGGACTGTGCTGTTTGATTCCATGTGTGAACATTGTTCCCCTTACTCTGACAGGTGTGAAGATTGTGGACTGTGCTGTTTGATTCCTGAGTGAACATTGTTCCCCTTACTCTGACAGGTGTGAAGATTGTGGACTGTGCTTTTTGATTCCTGAGTGAATATTGTTCCCCTTACTCTGACAGGTGTGAAGATTGTGGACTGTGCTGTTTGATTCCTGAGTGAACATTGTTCCCCTTACTCTGACAGGTGTGAAGATTGTGGACTGTGCTGTTTGATTTCTGAGTGAACATTGTTCCCCTTACTCTGACAGGTGTGAAGATTGTGGACTGTGCTGTTTGATTTCTGAGTGAACATTGTTCCCCTTACTCTGACAGGTGTGAAGATTGTGGACTGTGCTGTTTGATTTCTGAGTGAACATTGTTCCCCTTACTCTGACAGGTGTGAAGATTGTGGACTGTGCTGTTTGATTTCTGAGTTAACATTGTTCCCCTTACTCTGACAGGTGTGAAGATTGTGGACTGTGCTGTTTGATTTCTGAGTGAATATTGTTCCCCTTACTCTGACAGGTGTGAAGATTGTGGACTGTGCTGTTTGATTTCTGAGTGAACATTGTTCCCCTTACTCTGACAGGTGTGAAGATTGTGGACTGTGCTGTTTGATTCCTGAGTGAACATTGTTCCCCTTACTCTGACAGGTGTGAAGATTGTGGACTGTGCTGTTTGACTGAGTGAACATTGTTCCCCTTACTCTGACAGGTGTGAAGATTGTGGACTGTGCTGTTTGATTCCTGAGTGAACATTGTTTCCCTTACTCTGACAGGTGTGAAGATTGTGGACTGTGCTGTTTGATATCTGAGTGAACATTGTTCCCCTTACTCTGACAGGTGTGAAGATTGTGGACTGTGCTGTTTGATTCCTGAGTGAACATTGTTCCCCCTAATCTGACAGGTGTGAAGATTGTGGACTGTGCTGTTTGATTCCTGAGTGAACATTGTTCCCCCTAATCTGACAGGTGTGAAGATTGTGGACTGTGCTGTTTGATTCCTGAGTGAACATTGTTTCCCTTACTCTGACAGGTGTGAAGATTGTGGACTGTGCTGTTTGATTTCTGAGTGAACATTGTTCCCCTTACTCTGACAGGTGTGAAGATTGTGGACTGTGCTGTTTGATTCCTGAGTGAACATTGTTCCCCTTACTCTGACAGGTGTGAAGATTGTGGACTGTGCTGTTTGATTCCTCAGTGAACATTGTTCCCCTTAATCTGACAGGTGTGAAGAAAATGCCAGGGTACTCACTGGATCAAATTTCAAGAGATAATCAGAACAGAGCCACTGATACACAACCACTGACTGCGGACAATCTGGCAGAAATGGCTTCCACTGGACAAGCCTTGAGGTCCTTAACTCGAATCTCTGAATTCAGGGAGTCCAAACCAGATATTTCTAGTGACAGCTGGGCCATCACACAACAATATCAGGTTATTTTGATGATGTTGTTGTTAATTTGTTTTTGTTGATGATGTTGTTATTGATTTGTTGTTCATGTTATTAGTGAGTGAGTCCTTGAGTGTCCCTGCCCTGCCCCCTTTCCTTCCTCAAGTCCGAGCATTAGGCAAGATCTGGTAAGTTTCCATGTTTGGTAAAGTAAATGTATATATTGTTTCTCCTCCTCCTACTTTTATTTCTGATGCATTTTGGTTGTTGACCAATGTAAGCACATCCTTTCACACTCCTGCATATCTGTAGGAATATCATCTGCAGATGTCAGTATCCTTCCAACTCTTGGTGCTTCAAGTTCTGCAATCTTGATTGTATACACATTGAAGAGCAATGGACAAAGTGCAGAACCCTGGGGTTGACCCTGGGAGATATTACATTGTTCTGAGGCCCATGTATCCAGGCTAAGGGCAACCATATGTAAATGCAGAACTGCTGCTGTCCAGTTCACCAGCCACAGATAAACACTCTTCTGCATAAGCGCAGATACCAAAATATCATATCTGACTATTGTATGCATCCTCAAGATCAATTGCTGAGGCTACTGTCTCCTATCTGTTCTTGAATCCCTCATAGACATCAAAAACAGAAGTAACTGCATTTGACCAGGTATCTTTCCTTGGCCGGTAACTGCCCAAACCTTTTGGCAGGAGCTCTTCCCTTCCCAAAAACATTTGTAGTTTAACAGCAATAATCTTCTCTAGCCCCTTTGTAGGGTGATAATCCTGAAACCGCTGAGTCTGGAATGATCTTTGCCTGGTTGTGGAAGTGGAATTATGTAACTGGGTACTGTTCTGATGCTCTTGTTGAAGTGAAAAGCCATCTCCCTCAAGTTTTCATCACTCATGCTCTTAATGTGGGTGTACCTGACTCCATCTGGCCCCGGTTCAGCTTTTTCTTTTTGCAGTATATATTTTATATCCTTCACCATAATTATATCCTGAAAATAATTATTATTTATAGTACAAGTTCAGTTTGGGCAATAAATCTCTCAAAAATGCTATAAATCTCTCAAAAAAAGCCTTCTCCTTCTTTTTGTTGTCACTGGCATATCATTATCAGTGTATATAATGGCTATTGTGACAGGCCGATCCTTTCTTTGCATCTGTCTGTGAAGTTTCCAGAACCTACTCAGTGATTTATCCCCTCCAATTTCGTTCACAGAATGTTCCCATTTATCCTTTTTTTGCATCTGCTGCACACCATTGGAACTCTTCTACCTTTTCCATTCTTAATCTTAGCTTGTTGACATCCTCTTGTAACCTGTGAGGTGTCTTTCGCACTTTCTGTAATTAACTGTTGCTCGCTTTACTCTCCATTCCTGTTCTACTTCTTGGGTCCACCATGGAGGCTGCACAAAAGCAGAGGTGGTTATTCTGCTGCATACTTTTTGTCGAAGGCATCCAAAAAGGGTTCTGACCCTCTCATACTTGAAAGTGTTGCACGTTCTCACAGCCTGATCTTGCTAGGTTTAGAAATCCAGACAACATGGCATGTGGTCACTCCCACGATTGCCCATGACACTCTATTTTGTGTTCAGCACTCTGGCTGGGTAACAAATGCCAAATCACTAGCCATGTCTGCATCACCAGGTCTTATTGCCATTCTAGTTTGCCTACCGTCGTTTATACAGACTGTGTCTGCATCCACCATAGCCTCTGCTAAAGCTTTTACTTTTCTATTTTTCCCAGTACTGTCCATGATCTGTTCCGCACATTGAAATCTCCACAAATTAGAAGCCTATTACCAGGGATTTCCTCAAACTCTTTGAGCCAGTCCCAGTGTTCCTTTGTGACAAGAGAGTCAACAGCAGCATAAACATTTACTAATTTGCAAGTTTCGCCCTCCCTCCCATTATCTATCTGTATACACTGAACCTCTAGTGTACTGTGATTCTGCTGGCCCAGGTCAAGAACTACGTGCTTCAACAGCAGATATTGCCCATATCTTCCCTGTCTGGTAGGATTTATGTAAGTAATGTATCCAGGACACTCATACCTATCTATGTTTAATTCCTGCAGCATGATGATATCAAAGTCACAAATCAGCATGTACGGTACAGGTCCTCTCTGCTTGGCACTACAACAATTCCAGTAACCCACTCTAATATGCTTTAATGCCAGATGCTCCGTTTTTCACCTGACTCTCTTTCTCTGCCTTCTTCTCTCTCCATCCCCTGTATCTTTTCCTCTTTCCTCTCTCTCTCTCTCTCTCTCTCTCTCTCTCTCTCTCTCTCTCTCTCTCTCGAACGGCTTTGACAAGAAAGTGACGTAGGTCTAGGCTTATCACAGTCCAACAGTTGATCAATACTTTGGTTAATTCAGACTGTGAATACGTTCATTAAGAATACGTTCCCAGTTGAAGTGACACAGTCAGTGAGAGCTAGAGTGAGGAGGAGAATTATGAAAATTATAGATTTAAAACTAGTTTAATAGTAAGAGAAAGGGGCGTGTCCCTCAAACAGCAACATCTGGTGCTTACTTTGTGAATCAAGACTGATCCTACTAGGTGGATTGGCACACAAAGGGGGGAAGATTGGTGCTAGATGAAAGGTAAACCTATTTTCTACAATGTCTCCAAGTTTTATCTTATTCTTACCACTTGTTTGCATGTAACTAATTTTTTTGTACATCATGTTGGTTTTTTGCGTGTTATTGCCCAGGAGCTCAGTTTATGGGACAGTTAGGTTCAGGGCCTCAGGTCTGCTAGGGTTAAATGCTAGCCATGCTGCTTTTTTCCTTACTATGCCACACGCAAAGAACTTCTCATCATAAAGACATTTTCGAATTTGCCGAGCAACATATACTCCCTCTCTTGAAAATTTTCTGATGAGATGTTTCGAAAGCATCACCTGTTTCTCCATAGTCTTGACATAGTTTGTCATGAGATTTAGCTCAATGTGAAAGGGTGGCAACAAAATCTGGCTGGTGTCGACAAGTGCTGGGTTTTCAAAATTATTACTGCCAGGCTGCAATGACAGCCTGATCAGCCAAAGTCTTCTAATGTAATGCTCATGTTGTGTACGGCTATCCCATTCGTAGAGAAAGCAGCCGTACTTGGCGTAGCCACCCTTTAGTCCAGGCACAACAGTGAACACTTTTAAATCTCCGTAAATTTGTGGCACAGTCGTGCCTATACATCCCCCAAGAAATAGATGTGCCTAAGTCGGCCAAGTGGAATGAATATAGTTCGTAGCTCTCTTCAATCGTACTCAAGAACAAGGCCAGTGATGTAATCAATTACATAAGAGCTGGTTTATTCATAATATTCTCGTCACACACATTTCATAAATTCAATAAGCAATAGTATATGAACACTCCTTATTACTGGCTATTCGTATGCCTCTACGAGCTCCTTAACCACTGTTCTGGCTAAACTCCAAGTTTAACATATACCTTCTAAACGAAGTAAAGCACTAGTTTTTTCTCCTAACCGGTTTCTCTAGCGGTCTAGCCCTAACTGTCTTTCTCATGGCGGTTCCGGGGCTAACCGTCCTCTCCAGCGGTTTCCGGGACTAACTAACTGTTCTAGCTCCTGGCTCCGACTTTATCCCACCGCTTTCCCGCTCCTCCTGGCGTACCATCTTAATCACTCCCCTGTCACCTGTCCTTGGTGGTCATGTTTGGATGAACGTATCTCGTCAGCTGGTCACAGCTCACTGGCACTCGTTGAATGTTTCATCCCTCACTGTCAGATGTCATGGCGGTGTGTTCTGCATAGCTGGCTAGGCCATGGCTTTCTAATCACCCATTCTGTCATTTCACACAGTGATGGATTAGTACGCCGTGTGGTGGTCTGAAATGTATGCTTGTTCATTTAACCCCTTTCTGCCTATATTTCATTACATTCGCCCTACACACTTTTTAACAAAATTGTTTCCTATCTTCAATTTTATGAAAACTACTCCAATTATACCCGCTACCTAACTAAACCTTATGTGAACATCTAGCCACGTAATGAAAGCATACAACATAACATGTAACATCATAAAAGTCATGCAGTATAATGAAAACGTGACATGCATACAATAATTAATAGTCAATAATTCTAAAGACATTTAAAAAACGATACAACTCCCTCGTTGTATTAGCATAACAACCTCTTATTCACTGGTATCCCTAATGAATGTGCGGAGTTGTCTGAAGTATAAAGGAATAGTATCTGTATTCCCACTTTATAAACTCAAACCTGAAAACATTGTATACAAGAAATGACATGCCATGTATCCCCAGTTATCAATAAAGTAAAATTCGAAAATGTCATCTCCCCAAGAAAGGATGAAAATAGAATCTCTGAGAAAGTCAACATAGACTGAATAATAAGGTATAACCTTTACAGAGTATAAATAATTCTTATACCGTTAGGTATATTCATTGGAGAGAAATTTCTCGGAAACAATCGTAGCATTTCCTCAAGTCGAGTGTACAATGCCACCACCTGTATTTACAGGCATTTATCTACTGTGATAGTCCACAGCGTTTATTGTTGCTTCCCTAAGAGGTTGCTTCCTCTGTTTAATGCATATCGCATCTTCTGTAAAGAAATAGCCGGCCTATATTCAGTTACCAATCATGTCATGCTTTGGACTGGCTTATCGCCAAGTACGTTTCTAACTGTGTACCTCAGTAAAGTCTGGTTAAACTCAAATCAGTCATCATTCTGACAGAATGTATAAGAGAGGTTTTGTGGCCAGTAACTCTCTTAGCAAACATAAAATATGTAGGTATTGTAATCTTCACCCACAACCGAACGTGTGGATTTTCACTTGTCCGGGAGAGTACAACACGATTAAAAAACGTTCAAAGTGCAAAATCAAATGTAAATATTAAATGGTAGGGACAAAACAATGGTATATATTTAATATTGTCGGACAAATGACATGTAGACACAACAACAGAATATGTGTAGCGAGCGCGGTACCTCTGTACACAGCAATTAATGAAACTAATTACTTGTTATACACCCTGCAATCCCACATTTA